AGAGCAGGCAGGGCAGTCAGGACAGAGCGGGCAGGGCAGAGCAGGCAGGGCAGAGCAGGCAGAGCAGAGCAGTGCGGGCAGGGCAGAGCAGGCAGGGCAGGCAGAGCAGGGCAGAGCAGAGCAGGCAGGGCAGAGCAGAGCAGGCAGAGCAGGCGGGTCAGAGCAGGCAGAGCAGGGCAGAGCAGGCAGGGCAGGCAGAGCAGAGCAGGCAGAGCAGAGCAGGCAGGGCAGAGCAGGCAGAGCAGTGCGGGCAGAGCAGTGCGGGCAGAGCAGAGCAGAGCAGAGCAGGCAGAGCGGGCAGGGCAGAGCAGGCAGAGCAGGCAGAGCAGAGCAGGCAGGGCAGAGCAGGCAGGGCAGAGCAGTGCGGGCAGGGCAGAGCGGGCAGGCTGTCCCCCGCGTGTCAGCACGTCCTGCATGGCAGCAGGGGCCAGAGCACGGCAGCTGCCTGCTCGCAATGCGCAGCCTGTGTGCGGTAGGGCTGTGCTCGCTGCCTGCCAACAGCCCGGCCGGGAGCGCAGCGGGATGGCCGCTGCCAATGGGAGCCGGCAGGAACGAAGCCATGTGGGAAACTTAAAATGCAAGTGGAGCTGGGAGTGCGTGGCGAGCGCTCCGCAGGCGCTGCCGGGGCTGGCAGGGAGGCCGGTTTCGCTCGGTTCTGGTAGCGGGGATGGATGGCTGTGCGAGCGGGGAGCGCGGCTGGCAGGAGCCGCGGAGCGCGGAGGCTTTGGGCTGCGGCGGGATTAGAGTACACTGCTGCGAAGGCGATTAGACCCCGCTCTGGTCTCCACCCGTTTCATTTAGACAAAAAAATCTGGAATCTGGATTTAAAGATGTTCTTTAAGCTGTTTCTGAAATCAGAAACAGACTCTGCAAGGGAGGAGGAACATGTATTTACATCCATGAAGTTCCTGCGTGTCGCTACACTGTTCTTCCTGGAGCAGAATATCGTTCGAGTGTTCAATAAAGCGACGATAAACCGAGCTTATTTCCTGAAGCATTCCACATGTTGAACCCACCTAATAACGCTTTTAGGAATATTTTCCCTCATTTGATTCATTAAATTTTCCTTTAGATTTAGAAGCCTGCTAAAGCTAGAAAAATTAATAGTTAAGTCAATCTGTGACAAAAGGTGAGAGCCCCTTCCCAGGTGAGATTTCTGCAAATCTTATATCCAAGGTGCATGGGAATTTCCGCGGAGCGCGGGCATCCCTGGAGCGCTCACAAGTGGTTGGTTTTCCAGCTACCATCCCCATTCATACAAATACACACATCACCCTCCCCAGCAAACCCTCCTCTGATGGAGAAGGTCCCATCTGGGCAGAGGCAGAAGCAGCCGCCCCATCCCTGCGGTCCCTCCGGGATGTTCGGGGCGGGGATGGGGGATGTTCCCACCCCGGGGTGCCGGTCCCCCCCTCCCCGCCGGGCTTGAGGAAGCGGAGGGAGCGGTGGAGTTGCTGTGCATATTAATGAGAGGGAGCGAGGGCAGCGGGAGCCGCTTTAAAGGAGGAGAAGGGAAGGCAGCGGCAGAGCGCAGGCAGCGCCGGGCAGCCGCTCCGCCGGGAGCCGCTCCGCCGTCCCCTCCCTGGGACCCAGCCCCGGGACAGCGGCATCGGGGGGACGAACCCCAGCAGAACAAACGCATCGACGTCCCGGCATCTCCTTGGGTACCTGCTATCTCAAAATGAAGCTCCTGACAGCAGCTCTGCTCCTGCTCTTCATCGCGATGTGCTTAGCCAGCGCAGAAGGTAAAGCGGTTTATTCGGCTTACTCCCATGTAAATCTCTTTTCCAGTAATTTGTGTTTGTTTTGATAGCCCTGGCTTGGGCTGAGCTATGCCCTGGACGGTGGAAAGGTGTGATGTATGAAATCTGTGAGTAAGGGAGCTGCAAGTTATTTAAAGGTGAAGTAGAGGTAAAATACAAGGGTTAAAGTTGTGTCTTCACTGCGAGGCAGAGCTCACAATGGGGCAGGTCATGCCATGTTCTTCGTCATTCAGGAATAGAGCTCAAATATCTCATTTGAAATTGAGGCTGGTTTTCAGGGCGAATAGAGCAGAGCTGGATGTAAGGTGGTGGCACAGTCTGCGTTTTCTGCTGTGCACAAAAGTGATGGTTAAAAAAATACTCAGCTTTTGTCTTGCTACGACTGCACCACAGCATCCATGCAAGGAGAAACGACTCAAAGTCCTACAAAGTCCAAGTGAGACACAAGTGAATGAGAAAGTAGCCCAGACATGCACTTGCATGCTCATTTAAAGTGAGTTCTGTCTCTTTCATTTCATTTTGTTAAATACAATTATATTTAATCACAGCAGGTGCACTTTAAAAAATCTGCTATTTACAAAGTCCTAGAACATATATAGTGTTCCAAAACATATTTCTCAGAGAGTCACTACTTTTTTCTGGGATATACCAAAGGAAAAAAATAAATAATCTCTTTTTAAGCATAAAATCTTTAATTTATTATTTTTTTTCAAGCCTTTTCCCACCAAGGCTTGAAAGAGCAAACTGAAGTTTTCTTGGATGCGCACAGGCTGGAGGGGAAGGGTCGCTTGGTATGCAGGAGGCTTTGCAGGCGCATGAGAAAATGCTTTCTCTTGTAGGCGTGAAGTGCAAATGTTCAAGAAAAGGTCCTAAAATAAGATTCTCTAATGTACGGAAGCTGGAAATAAAACCGAGGTACCCATTTTGTGTGGAAGAGATGATTATGTAAGTTTTCCTTCATTTATTGCTTTCTGTTTCCCTGTCAGCTGAACTGTTCACCTTATCTGCAAGTTCTTTCTTTGTCCTTTGTTTTCCTCATGCCCTGGCATGCTAATTTGTGGGAACAGTAATTTGCTGCATCAGATGAAAAAAAAGGTGCAATTCTGACCAAAACCCCAGATATCACTTTTTGACACTTTTTTTTAATCAAATAAGTATTTCCAGAATGGGTAGCACTAAAAAGATTATTATTAGTTCAAGTGAAAATAGGGACAAATTCCACTCCAAGCTGCCTGATACAAAACTCCGAACTATTTACCCAAGTTTTTCTGAGCATGCAGAGCGAACATGAGCAGAGTTTGGTCTGTGGTGGTTTCTGAAAGGAAGAGTTATCCTGGCCTGCATTGTACCAGAGGAATCCCCATCACCTGATGGGGTTACTCAGCATGTAACAGAAAGCTTTCCTCCCAGTGTCCCTGCGAGCCAGGACCAATGCTGCTGTGAAATCTCAAACGGATGTGGTGGGTAACCAAGCTGAGGCTGGAGCTTTTACATAACAGGCTAAAAAAGAAGGGGGTTTTAGATTTTAAATATGGGTGGGTTTGGCTTTTTTCCTGTCCTCTTTGGGTATCTTAAGATTGCCCCAACAAAGCACCATCCAGCCAGCACGTGATACAGCTGGATAAGAAGCAGAAGAGCAGATAATTCAGAAAGACTGCACCAAGTCCCCCTGCCACCTCAGAGGGGGGGAAAGGGTCCCAAGATCAGCCCAGGACCATCAACCAAGGACTGATTTGATCCAGCATTGTGCTCCCCCATGGAACACTCACCAGTCACAACGGGATCTGTGCAGGCTGCACTCCACCTCCAGCACCTTGCAGTGCCCACGGGGCCGAATCTGCCCATCCACCTGGCACAAATACCACAGGAGATACCACAGACTTCCCACATGGAGCTGGCTCACCAGGCTCAGCGCAGGGCTCGTGGAGAAGCATCCCTGTGAACAATGCTGAGCTCAGGGAATGTCAGACCCACATCTTTAAAGCCCAAACCAGCTGATGGTGACCTGAACGGAAAAATTCCTGCAGAGCAACCCTGCCTGAATCAGCTCATCACAGCTTTACTCTGTTTGCTCTGACCTTTCAATAGTAAAATGATGTCATAGAGGGACACTAATCCTTGGCATCCCACTCCAGCTATTTGCCCAAATGCAGATGGTGACCAGGGGGTATGAAATAAATCTCATTAATGCAACATTTTGCTTCCAATCAGAAATCTGGGAGAGCCATAATGCCGTGCAGGAGCAGTTGCTTTTCCAGACAGGGCAGATATTGAGCAATACTACTCAAGGCTGAGGGTTGTCAGGGCTTGCAGCAGAGGCTGGGACAGAACTGTCCCATCACTGTCTCATCACTGGGGTGTCTGTGGGGCAGGCAGGGCAAACCTGCTGCCGTCACTGCCTTCCCAGCTACCCTGGTGCAGCCTGAACTCAGCATTGAAAGCACTGAAATTAATATTCTGGGAACCAATTTATCCGGGAGTCTCTGGACATGGCACAGAGGAGCTAAATTCCTGCAACTGAGTTTTTGTTGCTGCAGTGATCATCTAAAACGAGTTGTTGAAGCTGCATCCACTTCTGCCCTCCTTAAAAGCTCTCATATGGCAGAAACATGATATAAATGATGTTGGATAGAGAAACAGTGAGTATGGGAGGTGCAGTTAGGGAGGTTGTGACCATAACCCCCCAGCAGAGATGTGCCACAGGGTAAGAGACAGTTAAACTGAGTCCTCAGTCTAGTCAAAACCTATCAAGATTCATGGTACATCTAGCAGTAATTGTGAGTGTATCTGTCTCCTGGAATGAGGGGAAGCAGCAGAAAATAGGAGGGAAGTTTAACTCTTTCTACTTGAAATGTTCTGAAACATGCCCACTCGTGTTTTGCCCCATCCCAGAGTGTGGAGATATATCAGGTTGAGAAGAGCTGATGGGAAATGAGCTCACTTTCTCCATGGGCAGTAAAGGCAGATGGCAGTTCCCACAGCAGCCTGGGATGAAAGGACCAGAGCCAGGATCCTTGAGGTCATGGAGACAGGGTATTCGTAGGCAGAGGTGCAGCCCCTCCGTCCCTGCAGGTGAGATGTGTAGGGGCACACGGTGCTGGGGTCACAGATTAACTCAGGGTGTTTTCCACAGCCCTGGAGACACAGATATACTGGGGAGAATTTTGGCACAGGGACACTCAGACACCAGGGTGAAGGCTCCAGCCACCAAGCTCTGGGCAGCAAAGGGACAAATCCCACCAGAGGACTTTTACTGGAGGTGTAAGTTCTGGTGCTTCATCCCTTCTCCATCTCTCTCAGCCTCTTCTTGCAGCCCATCCAGGCAACTCCTCACTCAGGCAGAAGTTCCCACAGCACCTCTAAGGCACATTCCCTTACATTTGCCAGACCAGCATCGCCAAAAGCAGGCCCAGGTCATCTCAGGGTGCCCAAACACACTGCCACCCAACCCTGCATCCATCAGGGACTGTCTGAAAATGGCAGAGGACCATGGGGCTGCCTTGGGAACATTTTTGCTGTCCATCCTCCAGAATCAAAGCAGAAAACCTATATGTGATGTCAAAGCAATGCATCTCAGACTGAGGAAAGAGCCAGTTCACCTGAGAGGCAAACCATGGATCTCTTCCTGCTCAGTCTGCAGACTGGTAAATCCAGCGTCCTTCACTGCTCCTGGTGAAAATGTAGGGCTTGCAGCTTCTCAGAGGTGCTCCTGCTCCTCTCCTGCAATTCAGCTTATCCATCACTTTCTGGAAATATCCTCTGTGGTGTGTCAGAAGAGAAACCCAAGGCAAGGTCTGGAGCAGCCAGTGCAGACAGCACAGCTGAGGAGGTGGCTGCTGCATGGAGAAGCCTTGCTCTGCCCTCAAATCCCTTAAAACTCACATCATTCAAAGCTACAGGAAAACTCCACATCTGAAGCACACACTGCTCTCAGAGGAATTGGCTGGAAACACCCTTAGAACAGAGTTAGTCCATAATTTTTAGCACTGACCCTCCCCTTTCTGATGCCTGCAGCCATTAAAGGCTCTTCCACTGATTTCTCTTGCACTGGGGAAAAGTCCACATCCTCCCAGAAAACAACCTGGAAATTATACCTTAACATTTTGTGACCTTAGCTGGAGATGGAGCAGAAAAGGGGAGCAGGGAGGAAAGTTAATTGAATAGAAAGTCCTACTTGAACACCTTGTAAAACCTTGAAGTTGGAATGGTGGTGAGACCCTCGGTTCAGTTCATGCAGGCAGCACGTTTTCATTTGTGAGGCACCAGGAGGGTGAGCTGGGAAAGTCTGCTGGGCATTTTGTCTTCCTTTCTGAACCAAACCAGAAAAGAAACCCTTCAGTATACACAGGTATTCTGGGTTTCTGCCATCATTATACTCATGTCTCTAGCAGCATTTAATTAATTCCACTATAGGGTTTTAATTAAATCAATGATTGGTTTTCCCTTTCACAGATGGTATTTCCAGAAAATTATTTAAATCATTAGAATTATTAATTCTAATACAAATTGTCATTGTGGGTTGATTTTTGGATTTTCTCTGGGGTTTTTTTAATCACAAAATTAATAAGAAAACAAGAAAACTGGTCAATTTTGAGCCCCAAAAGTGGGGCGGTCTTGATGTTTCTGGAAAGCCATCCTGTTGGCACCCAGCTCCAGTCCCTCACGTCACCTCAGCTGTGGCACTCACTGAGCCCTCCAGGAGGGAACCTCAAATGATGAAAAGACTTTTGCCATGTTTTTATTCCCAGCATGCTTGGTCCTGACAATAAGGGGACACTAAGCCAGCAAGGAGAGCAGGATCAAGTGGTGATCAGAGGAGGCTGAAGGCCCCAGGGCTGATGCTGAGGCTCAGAGCTTGTCTGTTGGGCACACAAGCACTCTGCCATGTGCAAGTATTTAAATACTCCAGAATTAAGGGGGAAAAAAAAATATAAAAATAATCAATGAAGCAGTTCTGATCATTTCTCTTGGTTGAAGTATTGTTGAGTGTAACAGAACTGTCTCCTCATGCAAAGCCCTTGTGGTTGTCTGAATGAGCCCTAATTAAATTAATTAGGCTCAAAAGATGATGATATATAACACTTAGGCAGAGCAAACCCACTGATTAAAACCAGTGGCTATGTCTTCACCAGCACCACCTCAATGCCCTGCGCTGGGGGAGAACAGCTGCTCTGACCTTATCTCAGTAAACTCAAAATATCTGCCACTAAGCACAGAGCTGGAAAAGCCTTACCCTGCCCCAGTGAGCCCCCTGGCCCACTCTGGCAGGGTGTGGGAGCAGGGCAGGCTCTCTCAGGCCCCTGTGACCTTGCCCTTGCCTTGCAGTGTGACGCTGTGGACACGGGTCAGGGGCGAGCAGCAGCACTGCCTCAACCCCAAGCGCCAGAACACCGTGAGGCTGCTCAAGTGGTACCGAGTATGGAAGGAGAAGGGCAGGTAAGTCCCAGTTTGCTGAGTGGGTGAGGATTGTGGAGGCAAGTCAGGCAAGCAGCAGCTTTCAGAAGTAGATAAAACAGGAAAATGCATACGCTGGCAAATGCTCCATCCAGCGCAGAGGATGTATTTCATTACCAAAATTACAATTTTAAATGGGTGTTCTTGATATTAATTTTTTCCTGCCACATGCAATTCTCGCTTCTATTTTCGCATTAGGTTGTTCTGACTATAAATAGTAATTATTTTTGGTTAAAATATTCATCAGCTGACGTTCTCAGTTATTTACATACACTCACCTTGCTTCTATGGGTGAAAATTCAAGATGAAAAGCTAAACTTTCACACAGTCACGAGAAAAGCAGTCAGGAGAGATGGAAAGAGGGAGCCCTGTCCCACACTTCAATCACACCACCTCTACCTCATCAATACTTGATGACGCAGGTATTTGACAGTTTTAACTAGCGTATCATTCCCAGAAAAATGATAATTTTCTGATAAAAATCTCAAACAGTTTCTCCCTTGTAAAGAGGATTGGGTTTTTTCCTAAGTCATAGACAGAAGACAGAGAGTGAGACATAAATTCCGGATGCCAGGGGTGATGTGCCCATCTGTAATCAAGGGGAGCAGCCCAACTCCTGCTGTGTCTCCAGCCATGTCCAAGAAAGAGCCTCCACACACAGTACAGGTCCATCAAACCCTCATCCTCCTCTGGTGGATCCCCCATCCATCTGGTGGGGAATTTGCTCCCCAAAAGTGCTCAAGTAAGGCCAGGGAGCATCAGGCTGCTCTCCCTGCAGGCCCAGGGGTGCCAGTGATCCCCAGGTGATGTCAGGGCACAGCAAGCCCTTGGCCATCTCCCCAAATCCCTGACAGCTCCCTGCATCTGCTTCACAAACAGAGCACGTGGGGAAGCCCTGGCTATTGCATAACCACATATTTACACTCTTCCTGTTTCTTTTTTCTTTTTTTTTTATACATAAGGCTGTCATTAAGATGACAAAGGATGCTCAGCCCCAGGCTTGTGCCCTCAGAAAACAAGCAGACAGACAAGCCCATTAAGTTGTGCTGTCAGGAAACAATCTAGAAAAATGATTTAGAGTAATATTATTGCAAACAACAGATATTGTAAATGTATTGTCTATATACACCTCATGATAAGCTTCAACATCTGTATGTGAGAAGGGATTTTCCAGCATTTAAAGCAAATAAAGTGGATTTCTTCATGTTATTTACCCAGGTAATTGTGGTAGAGTTTGTCACTCCCCACATGCCTCTGAGATATGACAGTGTCAAAGTCCAGCACTCCTCCCAGATGCTTTATGGATAAAGGTAGCAATCTGGTGACTGATGAAGTCAGTAACTTACTTTCCAAATTACTCAGGCACAGGCTAAAAATCTGGTTTTTGTGGTTTTATTATTTTTGGGTTATTATTTATTATTATTATTGTTATTTGAAATGGAGTTTTTAAATTCCTAGTTTAAACACCCTGGTCTTGACTTTCCTTTTGTCTAGGGTTTACGAAGAATAAGAGAAAGTGGTACAAGAAATGGAGTGGACTCCCTTGGCTGGCATAGGACTGGGCTCTACAGAAGATTATTTCTCTCTTGCAGACATAAGACACAAATTCTATATTATTATGAAGCACTTTTTACCAAGGGTCAGTTTTTACATTTTATAGCCGTATGCAAAAGGCTTCCAGATTTCACAAGCATCTGTTGCACTTCTGATTTCATACCCATCTGCTCTGTACTGAAATTAGGAAAACACGTGCTTTTCATTTTAAATAAGTTCTTTTGGGAGTTTTTTTGTTTTTAATTATTATTCATTCATATTTCACTATGATTGCAATCGAGCTTTATAAGCTCATTAGGCAAACAGAACTGTTTGTGACGGTGTTGTACAGCCATGGCCCTCACCCCTGGCAGTGGGAAAGCTTTGGGCTGGGGTTATTGCTCGTGTTTGCAGCCTTCACCTCAGTCAGGCAGAGCAGGGACCAAAGATGAGTTTGCTGGGGAAGATGCCACTGAAATGCTGTGGCTGTACCTGCAGAAGTGAGGTCCCTCAGCACCTCATCAAACGAGCGTGAGCATCACTCGTGTACCTCTTCTTTAATGGACCTGAGGTCTTGCTGCAAGGCGAAGCGTCCTGCATCTCCCATTTAACCTCTCATGCATTAGAAAGCATTTCTAGGTCATTTTTATTACTAAGAAAATGTTGGTTTTTTCCACCTGAAGCACTTACAGAAAGTTTGTGGCTTCAGTACTGAGACATCTTAAGCTTCAAGACTATTGTGTATGTTTTCCTAGATTTGTAGCAACAAAAAAAAAGCCTTTAAAAGGTACCTTTTTATGAAAAATATGATAGGGCAAACATATAAATACCTATGTATGTTTTAGTCACAATACAACATATTCATTATTTTGAATGTAATACTTCAATGTTAAGCAGTGAATTCCTCTTTTTAATATAACAAAACTACCTTTTCATTTGTAAATATACTTTAGGAAATCTCCCTATATTATCTCGCTGTATAATGTACTGTACTGCTAAATTATCATATGCTATTTAAATGTTTGAAATATTTAGAAGGTTGCATGCAGATTTCATATTTCTTTCTAAGACAAATGAAAAAAAAGTAATAAAAAAAATATTTAAAAAAATTTTTACAACTGCTTGTAAATTTCCTTAAGCCATCAGAGAACTCCTCCCACTTTCAATCACTTGGTAGCTGGATTGGTTTTGGAGGGGGGAAACAGTACATCAGAGAAGCTGATTAGTGATAAGAACATCTTGATGACACTGGAATTAGAGAACATTATTCCAGTACAATTTACTTTCCTTCTTCATTTTAGGATTTGGACTTTAGCCAAACACTGAGGAATGCTGTGGCATAAAGGAGGGCGATGCCATTTGCCCATAACCACTGCTCTAGTGTTGTCTTAAGCAAACATAAATCAACAACTTCAGTTCATAGAAAACCAAGTAGAAAGTGATTTGGACAAGATCTGGGTTTGATTAGAAATGGTCGTAAAACAAAAGTCAGGCAAACAAAACCTGTGAGCCACCACCTCTTCCTGCCCAGTTTCTGCCCTCACCCCCAGGGAGGGACTTTGCACCCAACAAGGCCCCTACATCACTCTCCAGATGAAAGGAAAGCAGGAGCTTGGGAGGATAAAGCCAGCAGGAGTTTAAACATTTTGGAAGCTTCTGGTGCTCCCTGAAGAGCACCTCTGGCCTCCCTGCCTGCTCCCAGCTGTGCAAGGGCAGCTGTACCTGGGGCTGCTCCTGGGATTGGCACCACCTCGGTGGCAGCAGCCTCATCCTGCAGAGCCAGGGCAATGCCTGAACTCAGCTCCAGGGCTTCCTTCAGTTCAGACAGACAAAATAAGAAAAAGAAATAAACATACTATATATATATCTATATATATATATCTAGCCTGAATTACTGGGTAAGCACCTGGCAGAGCTGCTTGAGAAAGAGGATTTCAAAGCAGTTTCCTATCCTGCAGAAGGACAAAAATCAAGCTTCAGATAACTATGAGTAAAAATCTTGATAAATATCCCAGAGTATTTATAAACTTAAATCTCTGGGGGTATCAGCCACAGGGGGCTGTTTCTGGCTAAGCATCTGAACTCAATCTCTGGGCAAACCAGGACCTGTGATTGAGCCAAGCTTCCCCCCTCCTTTCTTGAGTCATATTTTAACAAAACCACCAGTTTTTTCTTGAGAAGATTAGATTTCAACATGCCGGTAGACTTCAAAAAATGTTTCATTTTATTTAGTGACTACTGGGAAATATATTCCCTGGGGAAATATTGATATGGTTGCATAAGAGGTGGTGAAGCTCCACTGGGAATGGTGTGCACAGATGTGACTGCCCAAGCAGAGGACTCACTGACTCAAACCTCACAGGGTATATACAAATGACTTAGCTCCAGGTTCATCTGCCACACCAAAACAACCAGCCTCTACAAAAACTAAACACAGAGAAAATCAACTGCAATTTTTTTTTTCCATTTGGCAGGATGGGAGACAAAAAAAACCCCACCACAACCCCAAAACAACCAAAACAAAAAACAAAATCACAAACCAATTTAAAACAAGCAAATAAAAAATTGCTTGTTTCAATACATTTATTTCTTTTAACCAAAAATACTTTGAACAAAACAACTCTCAGAAACAAGAATTAAAAACCTAAAGAGAAAAAAGTGAGTCTAAGCTGTTTTTACCAAGCCTATAAGCCTGCATCTCCAGGCAGGATTGTTAATTTTCCAGGAACAAGAGGAGAACCCCTTGCTGTTCCTGATATGCAGCTGTAAAGGGAAATACTGCATCAGAAGGTTACAGCCACACACAAAGTATCAGCCACTTTCCCTCAGACTGAAACATCTCTGCTAAAACATTTAAATAAATATAATATACATATGTATATGTAGGTACTTCCTCCACTGAGACTTGGCAGCGGTCTTAAGGTTTGGTTTTGCTTTCCCCAGCAGATTTCAGGTTGTGAAGCAGCGAGACCCTTCGAGTCCAGCCTCCCTCACGTGCAGACCATACATTTGTGCTCTGAGACTGAAAACGAAGCTGCTGAAATATGGTCTGAGCACACTCCAGCCAGCCAGGACTGCTCCCCTGTTACCAATTTACCTTCCCAAGAGCCTGAACATTTGCAGGGTAAGCAGGAGCCTCACCTCATCCTGGGGTACAGGAGCAGGACACACAGACCCCAGTGTGCTTTACTGGAGCACCAGTGCTGCACCACAAGCGTGTGAGCTCATCCCACAGCCCCCAAAGAGAGAAACAGACAACTGCAAACCCAGTAAATCTCACTGGCACTCTGCAGGAACACCAAGCCCTGCACAGGAGAGCTGCCCACACACCCCATCCTTCCCCTGGGCATTGGGTACTCACAGGCTGCACCCATTCCAAAACACTGCTGTTAGATTTCATTTTAATAAAGGCACAGGACTCACCCAAGCAGCTGCAGTGAGAGGACACAATAGCAGGGAGACCTGCCTGGCCTTTTCAGCGAGAGCACTACATGGGATTAGTAATGTTACACAGAGCCTTTCACCACTTGCTTTTCACTTGTTCATATTTGGTCTAGGTCAGCAATGGCCAGAAAAGTTTATTAAGAAGTGGTGGTTGCTTGGTGCTCTGTGTGAGATGGCTCTCAGCAGGTCCTGCTGTGCCCCAGCTCCCACAGGCTCCCTAAATCAAGGCACAAGGCCACACCAGATTGTTACACACATGGGGACCTTTCCCCTGACCACATCCATGTGGTGGAAGTGCTGGTTACACACCAAAGTTTTATCAGGGCTGTGGGAGCAAACGTGGGGATGGATGGTAAAGTCATTGCTGGGGCTGGGAGTTTGCACTGGTCACCCCTGAGACCTGAGTGGGAAGTCAAAGGCAGTGTTACAGCAACACAAACGCTCTCTGAGCTAATTCAACAGCAGAGTTGTGTCCCTTCCGGGCCCATATTCGTAGAGAATAGGAACAAATGTGAATGAAAACACCACTGTCCCCAGGATTTGCCATCCCACTGGGATCCAGAGCCAGGGACCTGTGCCTGTTCAAGGGTAAAGGGCCTCTGTGCACCCTGACATCACTCAACAGGTTTTTTATGAGCCCAGACAGAGGGCCTTGCACTCCCCAAAACACACTTCCCCTTAAGTCAAATGAAGCTCCAGTCACAGCTGAGGTATTTTTGCTCCAAAGCTAGTTTTCAAAATTGAAGCACTGAAATCCAGATGTGCCCAGCATCAGAACACCTCACTTATTCCTGGTTGTTTCAGCACCTTTCAGAAAATATAAGATGATTTGGACTGACTTTGGGCTTGAGATCCAGAAGGATGGACAGCCCATCTTGAAAACCCTGACTGTACCAAGGTCATGCCAGAGCATTCTGTAGATCTTCCATGCCTGGCACTCGTGCTGGGATTTGTTGTCCAGTTTGTTCCCTTCAGTGAGTTGGGGTGTGCATGGACACAACTGGAAATACAGGTATTTTTGAGGATTGCAGTTTGCAGTGCTCACTAACTCCATGTTAGCTCCATCAGAAATTCTTTGTTAGTCACTGATTTTCCTCTGATCCTAAACCACAAACAGTCAAGTGTTTCCTGGAAATTCCTTGGTTTGCCTAGAAAGGCTGCACCCCATGAGCCTCTAGATATTCTTGTAACCAGCACATATTTCTGGCAAAGATCTCCTCTAATTCCTTTGCCCAGAAAAGCCACAGGGATTGCCATTGCCTGAGACTGTGGGACACTGGGTGCATTTGCAAGCAGCTCCAGGCGCTTAGAGTGACCACCAGTTCTTGTAGGTATCGATACACACCTTACAGAAATAGGAATTGTTTTCAAATCCGGGGCATCCTGGCAACTTGGAAAATCTCACAGAATTTTTGGCTGTGCTTTCTGACAACACATACCTGCATCTCTATGGAATATGCCTGCAAAGATATTTGAACTGCAATTTCACAGAGAGAAAGCTGAACACCTGCATTAAATGGGGTCTCCATCCTTTTTACCTTGCAAGGCTTCCCCTTGGGCCATCACCTCTGCTGTCCACCAGCGCTACAGCAACAGTCCCTGAGTCATGCTAGAAGTATTAAAGTATTTAATATCCAGTAGAGTACAGATCCAGAAGTTGGGTTTTCAGCATTTCTATGAGCCAGCACTACTTGAGGCAAAGTCCAGTGAGATCAAAAGGATGGTTGGGAGGCCCCAGCAGCCTGGGATTCAGGCCCCTTCCTTTCTCTCACCAGCACTTTGGTGTCCAGCAGCTCCTTGGCCCTCAAATCCCAGCCCAGACTGTTCTGAAGGAGCAGTGGGGAAAGCAGGGCTGAAAGGACATCTAGTGGCAACCTAAAACCTTCTCAGTCAGCCAAGGAACACCTCTACAGCTGTATGCATTATAAATCAGTTTGGAGCCTGCTCATGGTGCTGCTGTCACTGTGAATGCTCCTCCCCAGCTCTGCAAGAAAAACTTCAACTATTGCATTTGGTTTAGGAAACACCTCCAAAGAAATTTCTTTTAAAAAGGAAAGAAAAAAAAAAAAAGGCAAAGCAGCTGTGGTTTAGGGAACCCTGCTCAGAGGTTCACACAGTCATATTATCCTGTCAGTTTGGAACTTGTACACTAAGGGAAAAGAGAACACCAGGCTGCTCTGTCTGCAGAAGCCATGTCCAACGCACCAGCATGGGAAACTGGGCTGCAGCACAACTCAGGGCAGCCTCATTCCCAAAACACCTGCCCCAAACCCTTTAAAAGCACCAAGCATTTCTGATCAACACGGTTTTCCTGCCCATAGGTCCTCCCTCCTGCCACCCAGCTAGCCCAGGACCCCGTGTGGTTGCTGTTCCTCTGGCGTTGCATTGTCCTGTCCTCAGGTGGGTCTCTCTGACCTCCCAGCAGCAAAACCCACACGTGCACAGTGTCACCTTCAGTGCCTCAAGTGGAGAACCTGCTCCCTGTGCTGGGTACCAGCACAGCTACATCCAACCAGCACAACAAAGCCAAGATCCCTGGAAGAAATGCCTGTGGTGATGTAACTTTAATGAGTTTATTCTCTCAACACCCAGCGACAGGTTGCATTTCTGGTCCTTTCCCGACCTCTGAAGTCCTCAAATCCCCTTTGATTTTTCTCTCCCCT